GGGGGGTGGGGGGTGGAGACTGATCTTATAATCTATGACAGTTGTTGATTAATGAGCTGCTCATGATTGCTGTAGGCCTGTCCAAACTGCAGAAGTAAACGATACTATAGGACTGGGAGGAATGTGCTATCTGGACGCCACACCTTTGTTGAAACTTAGAACTCACCTCGACTTCTGCTCTGTTTGTTCTAGCCTTGAACTACCAGATGTGCATAACCAGATATACGGTAACCTACGTGTGTCCCCTCGCCGCTCCACTGCTGCTCCTGTGGCAGAATTTCCACATTCTAAGTATGGCCACTTGTAGCAGTCACGGTACATGCTGCGTGGGGTTCACGGCTTTTGCCGGCAATGCTCTTGCACAAACAAATTCCAAACTCCCTGGAGTAGAACAGTACTATCATATCCGGAGGGGGTTGGTTTGGTCTCGTCTGACAGCCTGAAGAATTTTATTTGTATGTACACATATGCATAGGCACATACACATACATATGCATGCATATGACATGTCAGTATACACACATATGTATTATAATGCATAATGAATACGCTGCATTCATTACTGCAACACACAGTGCTTTCTGCATAACGAAGGAAACTTCTATTCAACTCTGTTCGAAGGTTGAAACTGAACATGATTTAAATCTGTAATAAAAAGGTACCCAGTCTTTGGTGATGACTGTTTCTGATTACATCTTTCAAAAACCTCTTAAGCAAATTTTTTAAACTTTCCTACATTTGCTTATAAAATTTCAATGTTCTTAAAGTGAAAACAACCCATACAAATTCTTAGAAATGTTCCCTGCACCCTGGTGTCTGATCTCCAGGTTCAGAGAAAACAAAGGCAAACAAAAAAAAAGGCAGAAACAGAAAAACTAGTCATTGTAATCCCTCAAAATACCAAGAGGAACTTCATTACCTTTAGCTGAACACATCTCTCCTTTTCGTTTATCTGTTTGCAATTATTCTCCTTTTTCTCATTTTTGTCTTTCTCATAGTTGTCTTTCTAAAAGTGTGCAGAAAAAGAACATCTTAAAATAACCACATCATCATGATCATTATCACACCTCGAGTACACTGACTGTATCATCCTGACAAGACAATGAAGCCCTACGGCTTTTCAGCAGTGTCATTAGGTGCAAGAACAAGTCTAAAATCCCACCAATGAGACATGAAAGCACATCTTTGTTCAATGTACAGCACACAAAATACCAACGGTTTTCAACTTTTAATCGTAAATAAATCCTCTCTTTAATCTCAGTAGATACCATTTCAGGGATTTGCTTTCACGGAAAAGCAATGAAACAAAATCGAAGTTGGTAATAAATTAAGATGTTTCAATTACTCTTTTCACTTTGAACCTATGACTTAGTTTTGGTGTATGAAGTGAGACTAGTACAAACCCCTTACTTTACGTCCTACATCTCCCAAAACAAGATTCCAAGTAGCATGATACATGAAATTAGTCTCTCCTGCATTGGAGAGACACGTTACTTTTTGTTCTACTTAACAAATCTGATCATGGTGAAATGCATCAGAGAGCCATGACTGAGGAAAATACGAAAGAGCTGCAAATGATGCATCCTGATATTTACTATTCTGAATGCAGATGGTTAAAAGCAGTTCTAGAAAAGCACTGATATGAACCTTGGTGTGGGATTACGAGTAATTGCACGTAGACTTACAGAATTTCAACAATGTGGCACAAATGGCTCTGCAAATCGCGGGGAAATGTTCCATGGAATAACATCCTCCAAGTGCTCTTAACTGTATCATTACACAACCTTAGAATAAATAAAAAACCGTATTTCTTCACAGCAGGTCAGATAATCAAGAGCACTGAACTGACCTTAAGCCACTCACACAATTCTGAAATTGTTGTCCAGAAATTTAGTAAAACCAGTAAGAACATTGGTTACTTCAACAATACCAAAGAGAAAACACAAATGCTTTTACAGATTAAAGGCTAAAATATGTTATATACAGTCACTCAATTTCTGTATGAAATTGAGAATTTCTGGGCAATTTACTAAGTCAAATTTGCACATAGACTGTTGAGAGGTAACCAGCTGATGGTAACAGACCTACCTGTATTACAACTTTTCAACCTTCAGCTCAATGGAGAAGTGCAGAAGAGCTTGCTATCCACTGGAGCTCAGCAGGAGCAGGAGAAAAAGCTGTTTATGCCTAGGGACCATGAGATAACCTTTCAGGAAACCAGCGGGGACCAGGGCTCACTCACCCATGAGGTATTGTGTAGGAAAGGATAGCTTTACCAGGAACTGCAAGAATTGAGCCTAAGTACTTGAAGGAAGATTTGTCAGATGATAACGTTCATAAGAAAAAGCCAGACTTAAGAGCATTTCTGTTGCAGATCACTCTTTTGTGGAAGCAGAACTGTAATATTGCTATTAATCACAAACATTGCAGCCATTGTAACGCATCACTTAATAAAAGAGACAGTAAGTGATTAACAGATCTTTTGCTAAAATATTTTTCCTTTAGAACTATTTCAACATCACTAGAAAGTTCCTTTAAAAATTGTCCTACTGGTACTCACTTTGTAATAATATTCAAGAGCTGACTTCAAAGAAGAGACTCAAATTGCTACGATATGACAGTATCTTCTCCTGAGAAAAGGAATGGAGAGACCACTGTGATAGCAAAATTATTTTCTGAGATCAAAACTACTAGTTAAAGGCACAAATGCACACAGTGTTTTGCCACAGTACAAAAAGTTATTAGATTTTTTTAAACAGACATTCACAGAAGTTACTTAATCAGCGCTTGTTAGAAAAACAGAGGCAGCTCAATAACCAGACTGTGTATCAAAGTTATGAAACAGAAACCCGTCAGCATAGACTTAATATTTTTTCTCCTATTAACATAATTATTTCCTACTCAGTAAAAATGAAAATGACATGTTAGCATTTCAAAAACATGAGAAAATGACCCTCTAGGCTTTATATGACTATCAAAACAAGCACCGGTACTTTATTTGCAAATTATTGTGCTTGAAATGATCGACTCAGCAAGTTTACCAGTCAACAAAGTGTGTGTTCTACCAGTTATAATCAATTTACATGTAATGATATGTCTGAATATGAATTTAAATGAGTTCTTGTCATTTCATGTTGATCAGCTGCTTTATCACCACAGATATATGGACAGTGACCATCGTTAATGTTGCAGAAACAGCAGAGCACGCACAAGTTTTCATGAGCCAGTGGTGACCAAACACAAAGAAATTTGTTTTCATACAAAAAGACAGCCTCTGACTTCTAAGCCATGTTTATTTTCCAGTCAAGTTAACAAAAATACTTTCTAAGAGGTTATTTCCAGGCATCTGCTGTATATGCCATGTCCACAGCAAATATACAGTATGAATCACAACAGTTTTCTCACGTCGTAACCTACTGATTTCTCTTTCAATGTATGAAAAGAACCCTGAGGCCGCCACAGAATAAAGAACATTTCAGTATTATCCCCATTGTATATAAATATACATTATTAGGACCTGCAAAAGGAATATTCTGGAGATTAAGAGAAATCTAGTTTCTTTAACAGCACATTAGTCACATCCCTGCACAACAATCATTAATACAATCATCAAGAATTTAAAATAACTGGGGCAAATGAAATGAAGTTCCTTCACAGCAGACAGTGCTGATCAGATGATATGTTGGAAGAATGCAAGACAAAGCCAGATTTAACATACAAGAATGCATAATTAAAGGCTGGCCTCGAAAAATGTCTTCATTTCATACAATGACATGAATGTAATGGTTTACTCAAAAAGATGGCCATTACATGCTAAAGTTAATTTCATTTTACTTAGAGTAGTGTAAGTCAGATAAATAAAGCTTAACATTTTCCAAACAATAATCCTTTTCATTCCCTCATCTTTATTAATAACATACATATTCAGGTAGAATACTCAAATATAATTTTCACTGATATACAGAATCATTTTAATGCGTATTTGGTACACTTTCTCATTTTTGGTGTTCAGTAGTTGCTTTTGTTTTGATAAAATGATACAGCAGATTAATACTTAGCGTTACATATAGGCTTTGTCTATATAAAGAATTTACAGAGCTTTTTCAACTGTGGAATGGTACGTTTAATACATATGACATTTTAAAAATGCTGCATGAACCTGTGACCTTGCCAATACACAGATCAACCTCCAGAAACTGTAATGAGCATGAGTTGCCACACATTTCTATCTGGGCCCAGTACAAGTATGGACACATTCAAAATGTAACATCAGCATGATTTGCTTTTGCTTTGGTGGTTGTGATATTCCAGGTGCGAATGCAAAGTGCACCTTAATGGTCCTCATAGCAGTAGTTTTATCCCAATGTATTTTAAAGGCATCAGCTTCTTTTATTCTCCCTTGTAGCGAGGGGGTCTTTTCTCCTTAAATGCAAGAAGACCTTCAATTCTATCTTTTGTTGGAATAGTCTGCAATGAACAGAGTAACAATTCATTACTGACACCAAAAACATACAAATCCTAGTTCTTCAGCGTATCCAACATGCAACATATAACACAACAGAAATGAAAACTCAAATGCGTAGTCAGATACAGGAAAGTACCAGACATTTCAAAGGCCTAATATAAGGCTGAGAAACAATTTGGGAAGAGTATCTGTTCTCCAAACAGATGACTATGAGAAACTCTTAAGGGTTTGTTACTGAGTGTTTGGTGTTTGGGGTAGGGTTTTTTGGTTTTGTTTTGAGGAGGTTTTTTTGGTTGGTTGGTTGGTTTGGGGTTTTTGTTGGGGTTTTTTGGGAGAGTTTTGAAGTGGGGGGGAGGGAGTGAGGGGGAATAGGTTATTAATCAAATTACCACATATTTTAAATTAGTTTTAGTGATGTGTCTGTTTCTGCGATGAAGAAAATTGCCTCAATGTCCAAGAACATACAAACTCAAATACATCATTTCCAAGTTTCGCTGGCAAAGAGTTTTGACTTGATGTTCTGTTGTTTAGCACATATGCCATTAGTGTCACATATGTTAGTAAAGTGGCCCTTTGTGTTATTTCATGTTAAAAATAAAGCAAAAGCAGAGCAGTTCTTGGACTAGATGCATGGCAGGGAGATGTTTTTGTCCTAAACTAAACCTCCTTCCTTAAATTACTTACAAAAATGGAGTAATAGAAGGAAGGTCTAAATGCAATGCCAAAATATTTGTAGAAGGAATCATAGAGCAATTCCTAATTGAATTTCTGCATGTTTCATAAGAGATACCAACAAAGTGTGTTTTCTGGGTTTTTGCACATAATCAGTGTCACATACCTGAGCATAACAAGCTTCTTCAATTGCCAAACCTGTTACTAAGTCGACCTGAGGAAAAGAACACAGTGTTTTTTGAAAATCTGTTTTTGTTTATTTATTACATATTCTTTTCTGACAGCTAACCTAAATACTGTGTTTCTGCATGCCACATTATTAAAGACCCTTCTGCAAAGTTCTTCTATACTGCTTTAACACAGAAATGCTACACTGCCATGTGGTGAGAATGGTTTGTATTTCTGCAACAGTTTCCTTACTCAGCAATACAATTAGTATGTAATACACTGTCAAAACAATGTATGTTCTTCACTACAAATCATCTGGACTAAAAACCATTAGCTACTTGCACATTTGTAATCATTTCATTTTCTACAGCAGAGAAGATTTAATGTACTGCATGACTATTTAAAAATTGTTCTGAAACAAGTTATCTTCAAAATGTCATATAAGAACACGATGCGATGTCACAAAATAAACATAAGTTCAAGTTTAAAGAGATTTAAAATAAATAAAAGAGATGTCAGTGGCCATCCTGTATCACCAGCTAGGTTTAATAACATTTTTTGCTTTATGAGCTAGCTGGTCTGAATTGCTGAGAAGGCTGAATTTTCCCCTCAGTACTTCTCTGCCTGTCTTAAGCATCAGCTGCTGCAGAATTTACCAGCTCTCCACATGGCCAGTGAAAGGACTGCGGCTTTGCACCACAAGCAGTTTGTCAGTGGGAGATAAGCTGTAGGATAGATTACCAAAGGAAGCCATGGAAAGACATCTCTGCCAGGGAAGGTTTCTAATAACAGCTTGAATGAACAGTTGGCTTGATTGGTTTTGATACATTAGATCTTGTCTTGGGGCCTCAAGCTTCAACTACATGATCACTCAGAGTTGTTCTAAACCCTATTGTCCCCAGTTCTATAAACATAATGAATTTGACCTTTCAGTTCCCCTATACCTGATATAGCTAGATAATTTACCTTGTAGCATTCTGAACCTTGAGTACTACTGAAATAGACCTTGAATTTCATCATTACTTGCTGTGGAAGCCTAACAAATATATATTCTTTGCACAACAGCATCTGAGTTTGGTTGTCAGCCCAAAACTTACTGGTGGTATGCTTCACTGAACTCAACCGAATCACTGCTTGCTTTTGAGACTTTAAGAAAAAAAGGACCATTCTTAAATTTGTCTTCTTGGATTCAGACGTTGCATGAGGTGTGATTCCCTTTCCCTTGTCCCATGTTAAGCTATAAGGTGTCCTGGTGCAGAGCTTATGCATGTGCTTAACTTTAAATATGAACAGTCCTGCTGAGCTCAGCATGATGATTCGTAAACCTGAAGTAAAAACATGTCCAGACGTGTTCAGGGCTGGATTTTAATGAGCTTAAGAGCTAGGTCAATAGTGTTCACGAAGGAGTGGCAATCAGAATCAAATATGAAATCAGACTCCAGATATAATTTTAACATTAACCTCTAATAAACTACTAAAATAAATAACATGCCTTTTGGCCTTTAACTTCATTAGTTACTGAACACTGAGAGCATTGACAGACCTAACAGAGTTTGACTTTAAAGTTTTTTCCGCCCAGCATTTGAAATACAACTTACTCATAGTAGCTTATGTTTACTTTCTCGTACTAATAATTAGCAGACTGCATTATTCCTGGACAGACATGAGGTTACTAAGCCTTGTTACAGAAATGGGCATCAGTCTCAGAATTCTGGGACATTAAAAAAAAATTGCATTTCACCTTTTAAAAAGTTTTGACCAAATACGTTTTGGAAGACTATATACTCAGAAACTATAAACAGCTCTAGAAAAAAATCACCACAGTAGACTTGTTCCCAACCTGACTTCTGCTAACTCTTATGGGAAGTACAGATCCTTACCTCCATTCCCTGATTGATGGCCAGTTTCGCAACTCTCATTGCTACTGGTCCCTAAAATGAAAGAAAAAGCTTATTTACATATTGTCACAATCTACAAGGTCATGCAGTGAAGAGTCTGCACATCAATGTTCTTACACTGCGACCTTCTAGAGTATGGAATTTTATTATATTTATAGTAAATAGGTCAAATATCCTAAATCACATTTGATTCCAAACTGATAGCTTCAACAGTGAGAAAAAGGGAAAGTATACTGTTTTCATAATAACTTAATTAAAGCAGTGCATTTGGTTTATGTTTCAAAGGTGCTGAGCATGTCCACTTTTGTCAAGCTTGCTCAATTCCGTTCAAAACGAGGCTCGGAATGGCCACCTTAAGAGACATCATTATAGGCCTTTGCATGGTCAATCTTATGTTCTTCTTATCACACAATGGAGACACGTGATCATGAAATGAAATTAACTTATGCAGCTTCAAACCTAAAATATGCTACTGAGAAGCCTGCACTGGTCAAGTGATGAGACTCTTCCGTGAGTGACCGAGGTCCCCAGCGAGCAGAAGGATTTCCACTCTCCCCCTCCAACATGCCCCAGAACAGCAAGGCATCTTCTGTGCCTGTCCATCAGCAACAGCTTCTGAATGTTCAGACATTGCTTCAGAGAAGTGGCCTGCCGCTTTGGGAAAACCCAAATGCTTTGGAGCTGGTTCCAATGTGAAGTTTTAACTACAAATCAACCTTCCAGAATCACTGTATGTTAAAATTTCTATTCTCTTTCTCATGTTTGCCTTTCTACGAGGGTGTTCAAGACACAAATAACCAATGTTAAATGCCCTATTTAATCTGTAACATCTTCCATTTTCAACAAAATATTACACTTGTGATCCAATGAAGTGGTTTACTGATTTTTTGCCTCTTCTGCTTCCTACTAATTTGCACCCTGGGACCCTTCACTTGAAACAAAGGTTTATCAAAAGATCCAAACTCACATTCCTACTGTGAACAAACAGCCTGCAGTCTGTGACAAGAGGGGAAACAGGCAGCAATCCACTAACACAAAGACTCCTATAAGGGTCATATTCAAACTTCTTAGTAAAATTTTCAAGTTCTAAAGCACATGAATTTGGCAAATCCCATTTCAATCCTTTTATGAAAGCGAGAGATAGGATGTCACTTAGAATGAATGACAAGAGCATGATTCTTTCATCAAGCTTACACACAAAGGACAGAAAGCAAAATTTCCACTAGCACATGGATTTTGCTTTATTACTTAAATTACATTTAGCTTTATGTTTTCAAAATAGGAGTTACACTGAGATATATCCATTTTCATAAGGACCTTTTTGCATCTCTTCTTAGGTGCTCAACAGCAACAGAATAACCCATTGAGATAATTGCTTTACTAAAAAAAATAACCCAACATTACACTATTTTTTGTTTGAAACTTGAAAGCCAATACGCAATACAAACACAGACCATATAATGACAACAGAAGGATTGACAGAGATTTTTTGCTTCCCTGTGAAACAATTACCAAGCAACACCACTCAATACATAACAAAGAAACTTATGATTGCTCTCCACATAACCAGAACGGCTTTTTAATACACAACTTCATGACGATTTTTCTTAATAGAGGTGGTTCTTCTTCCGTTTTAATGTCTGGTAAAAACTAAAAACTGAAGTCACAATAATGTGTTTTACCTGAGGTAAAAATTCTTTTGCCAGAGCTAATGCTCTTCTGTATGCAGCATCCCCTGCTTCATTCTGTTCTACCACATGGCTAATCAATCCTATTGATTTTGCTTCCTCACCATCTACAATACGTGCAGAGAAGATTAGTTCTTTTGCCAAAGACACTCCAATTGTGCGAGGCAATCTCTGTGTCCCTCCTAAAGTTTGGAAAAAGAGGAAATGTAGGCATTAGTTTCACATCAATTTATACCTCAAATGTAGATGCCTTGTTCAGCTGAAATGTTTTCATTTTTAATTCCATAAACAGTTATATGAACATAAAGGAATTAAACTATCATACAAAGGCATTCCAAAATGCCCTCTACAGTTTTGAAACTACATCTGAAGTGACATCAATTACCCTGTTTCTTAGAAAGACATATAAATAACTGAAAAGAGGTAATATTATTAGAGATTCTGTTCAATTACAGGCAAATTACCGTATTCATATCATTCAAACACTGATGGAAAACTGCTTTCCAGTGATTAACATATCCAAAAACTCTTGCTTTTTAGCAATCTGTATATTTTTATTATATTAATCCCCCCATATGAGCACTTTTGAAGAACTATACTCAAGAACATATACTCTAACAAAACCGTAGTGCATGCTAAAATTTGCATATGTTAGGTACAATAAAAATGTACACATAAACTAAACTGAAAACACTAGACAAGGTCTTTAAAAAGCCACGGTTTTGCCTCTGCTTGCTACCATATGATTGTTACAGTTATCTTAAAGTTATAGTTATCTTATGGTTATCTCGAAGCTTAGTAACAAAAACTAGGGAAGGACAATGTCAGGATTGTAGATCAGGAGAGAAAGGCACACAACTTCAGTTAGCTTTTCTTATTATGTTGAAAAATTCTTTGGCAGATCAGCATTTTCAGAAGGTCAGTAAGCAGTAACTCCAGTAACCAGACATGCAAAGATTGCTTAGTTGGACTAACAATTAACTTCAGAGAATTGACAAACAACAAGAATGTGGGAATAATCATTACTAAAACTGAAGAAGTAGACTCAAATCACAGAAGCAGATGTTTGTATGAATTAAAACAGTGGAAACAGCCTTTACCAAGGGGAAAGAATTTTGAAAATATGCAAGGTTGTTTTGACGTGGATCTGAAACAAATATTCAGTTTTTTATAGACAGCCTGTAAGTAAAACTTTCTTTCCAAACAGATATTCGAGCAAAAGCATACTTACATATCAAAATATAAATATATGTATATATGCAAGAGGAATATTCATAGGAGGTGTTCAAAGGGAGGTGGTGCAATAGTGGATAAATGTGTGTTCAACTAATACAAAATCGATTAATTTCCAGTAGATAATGGTGGAGTAAGCCAGTATTTTATTGAAGAACATGAGCTGTCTTACTGATGTTTCCTGAAAATAGTTTAAATACATTTCTGAGACAAATAAATGGACTGGAAACAAATAAAAAGTTTTTGTGATTCAATGATTCAGCTTTCAACTCTTACTTTTAATGAACCACAAGCTTCTGTACTACTGTAGGCTCTTCCATAAAAACAGACCTGACTTTGAATATATTACATCATGTAAAAACGCAGAAGGTTTGGGGGATTTCTGCTTTATGCCTTTGTAGAATATGACAGAAATCTGAAATCTGAGATATATTTTCTGGGTCGGAACTGGAAGAATTAAAAACTGCTTGGACTTGTGACGTTTAAAATGAAACCTGTAGAACAACAACATTAGTGAATACGAATAATTCTCTATGGTCCTAACCCTGAGAGGATTTTGGCAAGACTGTCCAAATGATCAAGGGCAACAGGCAACAGCAAGAAAAACTCCAGTTCCATAAATTCTGCTAGTTGTACAGCTAAGCCAGTGACAGTGCTAGGGGTGAAATTTTGCTGACAGCATAGTTTAGAGAAAGCCCCTGCTCTAGGGCATTTGTGTGACAGAGTCAGGGAGAGGAGGGGGAGGGCAAGGGGTTCTAAAACAAAACCCTTCGGAAGGTACTGCAAATCCTGAAGCCTACGCCTTCCCACCTGCCTTGGCTGCCTCACTGCTGAGATTCACAGAGGATGACTGGAGCTGTGCCGAACAACCCTAACATCAGACCTACACGCCACAAAAACATGAGCCGTGTGTTCCAGCAGCTGGCTGCTTCTGGTACTGAGCTGTACCACCATCACCAACAACAAACGTTTACTGGCTTTTTTGTTTTAAATACTGCACATGACTCTTAATTCCTCGCCCAAAGAAGCCGTCACACTCCAATTAACATCTATTCTTACACACATTTAAGTGTACATCAGAACACAGCAAATATCTACCCTGATTCTCTTTAAGCTTAGTCTTAACTTATCCCTTTCACCATAGCAATGGAATCTAGAAAAGCATCAGGTTTGGCTTCTGATTGAAGAAAACTATTTGTCCAAATCATAAGACCTGAAACCATATGAGGCTGAATTTACAGACTCCACATCTTTTGCTTCTGCCTTGCTTGCTATGCCTAGTATTTTTTTCTACTTAATTATCTCCCCTTCCTTTACTGCTTTATCTCTTCTATTACTGCTTTTACCAGGAAATGTTGAAAACAAAATTTAATTGAGCAACAATATTTCATAACTTTGACCAAACAATGGATATGTTTAAGCATGAAATAGTGTTTATAGACCAAAAAAGTGTTCTTGCCAGTGTCTTACACAATAATGATTAAAGAGAAAGGAAGAAAAAAGAGACTATAGTCTGTGTTGTTTGGCTGCCTCCTACACTGCAAAGCCATTAAGCAGAGGAGCATGTTCTTTGATTAATAGTCACAGAACAGAAGCCAACAGTTCAGTGCATCCATCATATATATTCAGTAGTAGGAATAAAATATACGCACACACACAAGTAGTAAGACCCAATTAATCAAATGCAAACAACGCACCAAAATACATCCAACACACCACAGTTACATCCATTTATGAAGAAAAGAGAGAGAGCAAGCTGCAGATAGATGTTCTGTTTTGGTAACACACAAAGAACATATAATGCCTGCCAACTACAATCAGAGCTAAAGGAAGTAACACCCAGTCTTCAAAGACATTACTTAACCAAAGCATTTCATCTAAATGTAGAGCTGAATTTGATGGGAGAATAGTTGTTTCATCTTCACAAATTTAATGACATGTTATTTCAAGGACTAGTGATCTGGTATTACTGACTGTGTTGATAAAAGTATTTGACATACAGTTGCTGTGTAAATGCATTCTTATCTGAGATGGTATATATTCAATGTTGCAATAATTGTAAACAGCAGTTTTAGATGACACTCTAGTTCATGTGAAAAGACATAGTAAACACAAGACTGCTAAGTTCTGTACAAAAATTGTTAACAGTATTTTTATTTCTTTAGCAAACAGTTGATTTTGTATGAATATTTATTTACTGACGGTAATTCATCAATTACAAAATATGTACACAACTGGTTTGGATTAAGGGAATTACGTGATAAATTCCCAAGAGTAAATCCAACAAGATGAAGCAACTAGCTTACTGGAAATAGATTCATCATTCTGGCAGGGAATATCTACAATCAGTAGTTTCTCATAGCTGAAGGCTCTGTCAAAACACACTGGAAAAAATCCTGTTCTGAAAAAATATCCAAATTTTAATTCAGTAATAAATCCTGTTTATTAAGTCAAATGAAAATGAGTCTTTCCATCCTAGCCTTTCTATCACGAGCTTTGTCTGATTTGCATCATATTGGTTTAACTGACTTGTTTCTAGATTTCATCTTTTAAAGACAACTGCGCATTTCTAATGTTTTATTAATAATCAATAGTGAAACCGAAGTCTGCCAGCCACAAACTTTCTAATTATTCATGTCAGTCAAGAAGTGGCTCAAATGTATCCTTGTGTTCTTTTGCAGAGAGCTGGCACTACATTTTACTCCATTGAAACTCCTAGATATATGGAATGAAGAAACCTGCTGTCCGTAACACCGAATCCTTAACAATATGAGCCCATAAATAAACTAACATGGATAAAACTATTATTTTATCATAAACCTTTTCAGTCATGTAAGACCTATTTTAAAGTCTATGTAACGAACACATTCAGCCATTAAGTAATTTTCAAAATATTGAACACTCTAAAAGCCCTAATAGTCTACCAAGACAATATTTAACTCTGAATTTCCAACAGATTATTTCCCAGATTAGGCTTTGATCCTGCAAAATCATACATATTTTAGCTGTAACTTAAATCGAGGTGTAAATCTTTATGGGCTCAGACATCCCTAATCCTTTCACAGAGGAAGACATGAAGAGCTCTTCACCAGCACAAACTGGGTAACCAACCAACAACCAAAAAGACTGCGAAAGGCAAAGATGCAAGTGATGGGATGGAAATGGAAGGGAGAAGAAAAGAAACAAAACATTTTCTCTGCAAGGGGAAAGAAGCCCTGAGCTGACAAAAGAGCAGGCAGCACACGAGGCCGCTCTCATGTCCGGCCACGCAAGCCGTCGTCTGGGAGACGGCTGGAGACACGAGCAAAGCCAGAGGCAGTGGCCCGAGGCTGACTCAGGGGTTGCCCTGGGGTCTGTGATGACTGAGAAGAGCAGTTGTTCCGGTGAGATTTCGTAGCAAGCCGCCAAAGGGGCTCATGGAAGTCTGGCCTGCCAGCCAAGCTGAAGAAAGCCCCGCAGGAATATCAGAGACAACCCTACCGGAGGTCGAAGAGGCAGGGTGACCTCCTACCTGCACCAGTCTGGCAGTGGCAAACCCCAGCTCCAAAACTGCCAACTCAATTTGCAAATCAGTCCTGAACTTTCACAATCCATTTTATTCATCTGTGCCTGTGGACTGTTGTTTTTTTTAAAAACCTATCTGAAAAATGCCTAGACTATACCAAACTGCCATGCGTGGGTGGCTAGAAGGTGGCAGCTTGAATCAGAAGAATGTAGTACTTGGCTTGAAGATATACAAACGCTTACGATGCATGGGAGAAAGTGTAAATACACTTCCAGAATTCACTAGCAGTTAAATAATCACAGCTTTTGTACAGAAAGATGAAATTGTTGGGTAATTTAGAAAAACTAATTTATTTTCAAAATAAGCAACCCTCTTGCAGGCTGAGAAAGACAGAAGATGGTTTCCCAGCAGACGGCTGCATACGTGCAATGAATGGAACGAAAA